TCTGGGAGTTGAAGTCCACCCGTCTTAAAGTTGCCAAGGTTGAGGAACCCTGATATAGAGAATGCCTTGCTATTGTTCCTTGAAAGCATGCAAAAATGCACCCTTCAGAATTCTGAGAAAATGCACTTAGCCGGCGTTCGGAGAAGAAGCCCTATGCAATTAAGGCACCCTGCTAAATTGTGGTTTTCCACTTGCTTAGAATTTGTTGATTGAAATGGTAATCTCCTTGGGGAAAAGATCCCTCCTTATAAGATCAAAGAGATCTCCTGTTAAGTCTCAGCTAGGAAAGAATGTTATTAGCTTGGCGTCTCTTGCTGCATTTTAATCTATGTATTTGGCCCATTCTAATTGTAGTTTGTCACTTTTGCTTCCGGCAGGAAGACTGCATGGCGGGGAGGAGGATTTCCTTCTTACACTTTAATAAAATTTATTCTAAAAGAGGGCATTTTCAAGATGATTAAAAGTTTAATTTGCAAGACCCCACACTATCACCTATGAAATATGATTTGAAAACCCTAATTTACCATTAATCTGGAAGGGGAAAAATAACAAAAATCTCAAAGCCAACAAATGAATAGAACAAGAGGAAGAACCAGATGTATATTTAATTTATTTTTCCAAACTCCATCTCCAATAAAAAGCTTGCAGTGGCCCATTCTGAGGTCAGAACTCCTGCATGTGGGGTGGGAAAAGGCTCCTTATTCATTCAGCCCCCATGTTTTCCAACTGAAATCTCCCATGTACCTGTAAGATATGAAAACAGAAGAGTAAACCTACCACACGCTGCATCATTTTTGGGAAGACTACCGGCTGCTTAACCATAAACTAATCAGTAGTCCAGGTTTGAACACTAAAACTAAAGGAAGCTAATCTTAAATTCTGGTTAAGGATTGTGCATAATAACAATCTGATCTTGGTCTGGTTGCACATAATATGAATTTAAATTAAGGGACTGCCTCTCCTCAGTTGTTTCTATGGACTCCTCCTATCTGGTCCATGGGGGGGCGTCATGCTCTGGGTCCTGTCGGCTAAGGAATGTTGGCTTGCAGGGCCCACAAGGCAAGTCTTTTTGCTGTAGCAGCCACCCTATGGAATATTCTCCCTCCAGAGATTAAGTTGGCCCTGACCCTGTTGGCCTTTGGTAAGGCCCTAAAGACCTGGTTTTGTACCTGGGCTTGGGGCCCCAAGTGCCTTCATTTGATTTTTAGATATTGTTCGCCACTCAGAGTCATTTGCTGAGATGGGTGGCTATATAAATCAACTAAATAAATAAATATGTACAGTAGGCTCAGTCAAAATATGCATTAGTGTACTGGGTGATCCTGATGTGTTTCAGTGTTCCAAGAAACTATTTAATATTCAGCTCAGAATATTGAGAATTATTAGATATTAAGCTGATAACTTTAGGAACCTAAGCATGCATTCATCTGACTTTAGCTATAAAGAGAAGAGGCAATTATTATTGTTTTTTATTCTTCCCCGCCTGATTTTATTTTTCAAGAAAAAAAAAATTAAATGGGAAGGTATGCAAAATAGCAAACCCAACACTATTTTCAATAACGTTTCTGTTCTTGACTATAGCCCAGGGACATTCTAAGAAAATAAAAAATAGAGGATTGCACCCCAGTGTGTACTTACTCTGATAAACAAACAAACAAGCAAGCTATGAAGCATCTTAGGATGCTGATGTTGGTAGTGGAGAACAATCTCACCAATTTCCCCAGTGAGAAATGGCTATTTTGTGACTAGACAAGCTCATTCCCAACCATCATGTATAAGCATTTTGTGACAGCTTCCATAATATGTTCTTATAATTCCATATGAGCTTACTGGCTGTAAAAGTTGGAAGCCTCTGACCTATGTGAACAAATTAACTGGAACTTTTCTTTTGATATAAATTGAATAATCTCTTTTCTTCTCATAATGATAACAGCAGCTAAATCACATAGGCATTTGTATGTAATTATACATATCAACCTAAATTAAGCTCATTAGTTACTTTAGAGGAGCTATACTTTCTTAGTCCACTTATGATGTATCTTACTGCATCATTCTATTCTTCCTGCATCATCATATTCTTACTGAACATTTCCAGCTTTTAGTAAATGCATATTGATTCTTGTACCAGACAAACATTTAATGTATTTTTCTTACATATGTCTGCCATCTGCTGGAGAGATCAATTTTACACACTGGTGCAAAGCGATTAGAAAGAAAGGTATTACAGTACTACAAGCCTCTCAGCTGGCAACAACTGTTCGCTAACCCAGACTCTGCGTGCCTTGAATCCAGACTTCAAATCCCATGACTTTGGCTTTAAACCTGAGACCGGCTGACAAACTTTCTGTGATGCTTTGTTCCTTGGACTTCACTTTGACTACTCTTGCACCTGTTGCCTTGGTCTTGGAACTCTAGTAAGACATGCCAAGAGTAAAGCTTAGAACCAGCTCTTCGTGTGTTTCTGTGTGTTTGGTCTGGGACAGAATAGTTTGCTTTCTCTGTTTCTTGGTGTTTGTCAGTCTGTTTTTACATTCATCTTAACAACTCTTTTGATTTCATTTCACATTTCTCTGTTTTCCTGTCAGTGAGATTTAAGACTTCAAAGCGATTCCTGATTTCTCTTGAAAATGTGGGTGTATGCTGAAGATCATAAGGTGGATTGGGCATGACAGTAAAATCTGTCAAGCTCTGCATCTATTGTATCAATGGCTGGAGCATAAATCTGGACAACTCTCTAATACAGTGTTTCTCAACCTTAGCCACTTGAAGATGTGCGGACTTCAACTCCCAGAATTCCCCAGCCAGCCAGGGAATTCTGGGAGTTAAAGTCCGCACATCTTCAAGTGACTATGGTTGAGAAACACTGTATTAGAGAGTTGTCCACAAGATCCAACTGAGAGAGCCTAGCCCAGTGCTGTGGAGAAGATCAGTTTAAAACTGGAAGGAACCAGGTTATGCAAGCTGTACGTTGCTGGTTCTGTCACTCTTAGTTGCATTACAGGTTTTCCACTACTTCTGCCAACGAAGTGTTTCATATGACTGTGCGTTTTGCAGTTTTTATTACTCTGATGGCTGGGCAGTGTCATTTCGTTTGCTCCATTCCGACTCCAGAGCTGTCCATGGGCCACTTCTAGGTGCTGAGGGCCACAAGAACAGAACTGGCATTGGTGTCAGGACAGACATTTTGTTGGACTAGTTGGGGATGCAGTTTGCTTTTTTAATCACTTCCTCCTGCTTCACCTTCTGCTCCTCCTTCACGACTGCATATTCCCAGATGGACTGATTTTGGATGTAGGTTTAATGCTTTTTCAGAAGACCTGTGTTCAGAAACTCACAGATGCACGCCCCCTCCTTGCATTGCATCAGTTGGCTAAACAACTCCACTCCAAGAGCCTGCCTACTTCACATTAGTGAGAGTAGATGGCGGGAGGAGAAAGAAACAGAATTAAACTACAGGTCCCAGAATTCTTTAAAGGAACCCATGTGTAGAAAACTGCACGGCCTGCATTGTGGGAAACGTAGTTTTTAGCCTGTTTGAGGCAACTCCCGCGCGAATTCATTCGCAGCATCTTCGCCCACGTGACGTCCGCCAGGAACGGAATCGCTCTGAAGGGGGCAGGACATTGGCGCTGCGACCTGGTGACGCAGGATCCGCGGACTGAAGAAGAGAAGCCGGGACGCGCGGCGCGGAAGAGCATCATCGTTTCCCGGGCAGACGTTACTAAGTAACGGTGTGTATCCGTCCGCCCACTTTCCCTTCCCTAAAAAGACCAAGATGGCGCCCGGGACAGCCGTTGGAGGCGGTTTGTGAGAGGACTCCTTCAAGGGGGTCTCTCCGTAGATCACGGTACGAAGAGGCGCGAGGTTACTCAGTTGGGGTGAGGGCCAAGGACACAATGAGTGGGAGGGACAAGAGGTCGGGGACGCGCCATATCTCCCAAGGAATCGGGCGTAGGCGAACCCCGGAGTGGGAAGCAATGGGGGGGGTCTCTGTGGGCCTCGGGGCGCTCGCGCTCCTCTCAACTCATTCCGTGAAGGGACAGGGAGGGGGCGTGCCCTTCGCCCCGCCTCTTCCCTTGCCGCGCGCTCTTTAGGCAGGCTCCTCCCCTCTACCTTGACGAGCGAGTGGGCGGAGGGGAGGCGGTGGTCCTTGTTGCTAGGGAGATGGCGCATTCGCTTCCCTAGTCGGCAGCCTGGCACCGAGCCCATCTCCCTCGGTCCCTCTCCTTTTCCCCGCGGTTTGGACCTTGCCGCCTGTTTGAGAGAAAAAGCGGGCCCTGTGACTCCGCCCCGTAACCGTCTTTCTACTCGCTGCCCCTCTTCATCCAGCCCTTCAGCGGGAGTAGCATCAGACCTTGGGTGCGGGGAAAGAGGAGGCTGCGGCGGGGGAGCTTTGAAAAGAGAAGTTGAAGCTCTTCGGTTACGGCCGGTTCTCCAGGATCGGGACAGCTGCTCCCGAACAGGTACGATCGTCCCCCCGCCCCCCCAGAACGGCTTGCCTTCTCGGGGGAGAGGGTGGTAGTATAGGATGGGTAAACCATGTAGGATTCCTTACTCTTATTTGTAATGGATTTGGGGGATTCTGATTCTTCGATCTTTCAGTAATAAGTTTATCATGGTCACCTGACCGCCAATAATAGTTAGATACAAATATAAATATAAACATGTCATACATCAAGGCAGTCGCTCAAAAGATACTTAGAATTATATAAGTCCTTTAACAGCAGGTGAGTATTAGCGATGGCTGGAGGGCTGTTATGTTGCTGGAAGATAGTTCATGAAATTCAGTCTTCCTACTGGGGCACTCTCTTAAAATGTAATAGAGGCACAAAAGGATAATATGGAAGGGCATATGCACAGATTCAACTTTACCTTGATTGCAAAGGCAATTTTGGGGGAATAAGAGTTTTTTTGTATCAGGAGTATTGAAGGCAGCACATTAAACTGTGCCATTGTGAAGGTCTAGTTTTTGATAGTTCCTACAGAAAGCAAACTAAAAACTAAGTTTATATCTCTTAGATGCTTCATGTTCTAAATTTATTGCTTTATAACTTTTTGGCATTCTCATAGTCCACTAAAAACTATGACTTCAGGTGAAAAATCTATCTGATTTTTCAGGGCCAGCTGACCTGTTCTGATTCATCAAATTTTTGTTGTTGGTCATATATTAAAATGCAGGGGTCTGCTTCCTTTTCATTTCTATTTTACATAGCACATTAGCCCCTGGTTAATTGAACCATGATTTGCTGAATTAATCCAATTTTCTGTCTGTGCAGAACACAATGAACCATGAACTAAACACATTGGGTGGATTTGTAGAAAATGTAGTTAGCTATTTTGTGGCTTGATATATTTTGCAAATTCAGCCTAAAAGTTTTTATGTTTGCCAGAGCAAGCTGCCATACAATAGGCCATTGCATATACATGAGCTTTTTATTATTATTATTATTTTAACAGAAAAAACCAATGCAATGGCTATAGTTGCCAGAAATGGTAACTCAGTTTCAATTCCCAGTTGTAGTGACCACTTGATTCCTAAAAATAAGAAATGGGATCATGGAACAGTTATTCTGTATGTCAGAGTTTTATGTATTTTTAATCAGAAGTACAGGCCAAGTTGTTCAAATCTAAGGCTGTGTATATTTGCTTTTTACACTGAGAATAAGCCCATTGGAAAATTGTGACATAGCTAAGTTTTTTTTGTACTTAACTATGCACAGTGTACACTTGGCAACTCTTTGTATATAGTAACTCTATAGATGACCTTGTTGCTTTAGCAACAACAGTTAACTCTAATAGTACTGTAGAAATTTAGAAAAGAAGGTTAATAAAAACTAGGGTGTTCTTATTTAAAAATTAATTAAAAAAAACTTAAAATGTAAAAAAATGGCTCTTGTTTTAAGAATCCTGGGCAAGAACTGTAAATTGGGTTGATAGGTAATTATGCACAAAATGTCTAAGCAGGTCAAACTCTCTGACAATTGAACAATGTATTTTTGTATTCTCAGTTTATATAGTTGGTGAGGGGGAATGTCTGTATCATTTATCAAGGAATAACATCAGAGCTTCGTGTTTGTTTCTATTACTGTTATAGGAGATGAATATATGGAAAAGGATTTCTTATGGGAGCATTCATGATAGAGCCAAAATAACTTTGGGGTCACTTACAAACTGATTCTAGGAAATAATTGGATTTGGATGTTCCCCAAATCTGAGTGAATATTGTTCAGCCAGGTCACTTGACATAGTATAATGTTTATATATTTTTTAAATATATATACAGGTTGAGCATAGTGCAAGCATTTTTATATATTCCAGCAACAAAATTAAATGCAATGCTCTCACTTCAGGATCAATACCTAAAACACAGTTGTTTAAAAGAAACCAAAATTAAAAACCTTTCTTCTTTCTTCTGAATCTAGTGGTTAAGGCACCAGGCAAGAAACCAGGAGAGTGAGTTCTAGTCCCGCCTTGGGCATGAAAGCCGGCTGGGTGACTTTGGGCCAGTCGCGCTCTCTCAGCCTAACTCATCCGACAAGGTTGTTGTGGGGAAAATAGGAGGAGGGAGGAGTGTTAGGTATGTTCGCTGCCTTGAGTTATTTAAAAAATAATAAAGGCGGCATAAAAAAAATCTAAAAAAGTGGGTTGAGGGAGACAAAAGATTTGTACTTTTGCAAAGAAATGTGTCTCTGATATTAAGACATATATGGCTATTTTCTGGTAATATGGGCTATTTATCTAGTTCCAAGGCAGGAGAAATGTGGCAACTTTGTGAGATTTGCTGTGTCTGCCTTCAGCAATGCATTAACTTTTTCAATAAACTGATCATTTCCAATCTGAATCTTAGAACAGCATTGGAATCATTGGGTATACCCTTTTTATGTAATAGAAGTGACAAGAAAGGGTGATTTTACATGTTTATAGCAACTTATTCTAATATTTTTTATAATTTGATCTTCCATTGCTGCTTTGTATTTGATAACATAAATTTGCTCTATTGTTATGTTTCTCTGTTACTAAATTTCAGTTAGGTTTGTGGGGCTTATAAGAAAATTTCATGTGAGATACCTGATGTTGATAGACTTTAGTTTTTTATTGTTGTTTAAAAAATATGTGGAATGGCCTACAGTACTTTACACTTCAGTTGTCACTTTTGGATTCTGGCACTGAAGAGAGTTATATACGTATAACTTTGGCTTTAATGCAATTATAAGGCTGTAATATATGTACCTTTATGTTAGAGTAAGTGCTATTACACTTAGGACTTATGAATAGATTGCATTGTACTGTTTCAAAATCATGGTGCTCTGATGTAGCAAATAAACTGAAACATAGAAATTTGGAAGATATTTGCTGTATTACTTTTGAATTTGTAACTGTTCAATTTTGAATGTTCTTTATGCATTTCCATTTAGGACAGGGTTTTTTTTTTTGTTCTGTTTGATAAAAAATGATGGTTCTGTGCACACATTAATGCCAGCTTGTATGCCATCTCTTAATAATCATGGTATAGTAACTAAAAAAGCATTGAAGGAAAACAAAACTTTTATTACAAGAGTTGTTTGAAAATTGCTGCTAGGAAAATGAGTGAAAAGGGATTAGCTTTAAAACCAAATAAAGTACATATGAATACATGCATGAATGGAATGTTATTAGCAAGTCATATAATGTATACAGTAGCATTTAGTAAGATTGATTATATTTTTACAGTGTCATTGGAACAAGGAATGTTTGTGCTGTCTTTGAATAAACCACTTCAGTATCTAATCAGTGTAGATTGCAATCCTACATAATTTACCTAAAAGAAATGTGATTTAACTCAACAGTGTTTACTTCTGAGTAGACATCTCTTAAACTTAAGTTATTAGGCTGCAATCTTAAACATATTTATCTTTGAATAACCTTAAAAAATATTGGAGCATAAAAATAGGATTGTGCTATATCAGTATGCTTTACTATACAGGTGAAACTCGAAAAATTAGAATATCGTGCAAATGTTCATTT